TTAGCATCAGTATCCAGCAGACTGGGGATGAGGGAAGACAGCATGAAGGGTTACTCAGGGAGTTTATCTGAGCCAGGCCTGAGTTCTCCCCATGTTCCTATAGGCAGAACTTAATCACATGACTACCCCCTGCTGAAAAGAAAACGAAGATCATGGCATCTGGTCCCATCGCTTCAAGGCAAATAGATGGGGAAACAATGGAAACAGTGGCAGATTTTATTTTCTTGGGCTCCAAAATCATGTGGACAGTGACTGCAGCCATGAAATTAAAAGATGCTTGCTCCTTGGAAGAAAAGCTATGACCAACCTAGACAGCATATTAAAAAGCAGAGACATTGCTTTGTCAACAAAGGTCCATCTAGTCAAAGCCATAGTTTTTCCAGTGGTCATGTATGGATGTGAGAGTTGGGTCATAAAGAAAGCTGAGCACTGAAGAATTGATGCTTTTGAACTGTGGTGTTGGAGAAGACTCTTGAGAGTCCCTTGGACTGCAAGGAGATCAAACCATTAATCCTAAAGGAAATCGGTCCTGAAGATTCATTGGAAAGACTGATGCTGAGCTGAAGCTCCAATACTTTGGCCACCTGATTCGAAGAGCTGACTCATTAGAAAAGACCCTAGTGCTGGGAAAGACTGAAGGCAGGAGGAGAAGAGGACAACAGAGGATGAGATGGTTGGATGGCATCACCGACTTGATGGACATGAGTTTGATGAACATGCAGTCCATGGGGTTACAAAGAGTTGGACACAACTGAGTGAGTGAACTGAAATGAACACCCTCTGCTGAAAAGGAGGCTGGGAAATGTCATCTCTCTGTGGGCCTCGGGGACAAAGGAAAGAATGTGGTGGATAGCTAACCTGTCTGCCACAATTATTTTGGGTCTGCCAGGGTTCCCGGTTCCACCTGAACTGAGGAGCTGAGGAATACACAAGGCTGTGAGTTAGGTTAGTTAGGTCATACTTCCTTGTATCTATGACCTTCTGTTTTTAAAAAAGAAAACACACACAAGGAAAGGAAGTGGAGGTGGCCAAAGTCCTGAGCTAAGTAGATGAGACATAATGTGCTAAAAATAGTTCATATTAAGGTTATATTCATAAAGAGGTCATCAATGATCAGAAATTAAAAATAAAAAAAGTTCAAAATTTTTAGAACTCAGGCATAACTGTTAAAATGTTCGATTTTTAAAATTAATCTGAAATACATGAAGTACCAACATATGAAAAAATAATGATTTTAAAATATTATCAGGTAGACTTCCTTGTTAACAAACAAATCACCCAGACTCTTGTAGGTCCACTTATGCCTACACCCAGCCCCAACCAGACAGGACTTCATTTAAAATCTCAGGACATCAGTTGTTCCCCCTTCAGAGGCTCAGCCCACCAAAAAAAAAAAAAAAAAAAAAGAAGGTTCCCAGTGGCTCTGCAAGTGGCATGAAGCATGAGGAAGAAAAGGAGCAGCAACTGGCCACTTCGGATACATCCTTGAACTAAGACAGCCCAAGGCAGCATCCTGCTTCCAGTCCAAAATCTAATCCACTCACTGCCTCTAGGCTACCCCCTATTAATGCACAGTGACAGCTGAATTTAACTGCTTTTCTCTCCTGCTCAGCCCCAAGGCCTGAGGGGAAATAATCCTTTTATCTCCCAATAAAGGAGAATTACTGGGATTTTGCAGCTCAGCTCACTTTGAAGAGCCATCTTCAGGAGCTGGAGGTTTTGCATTTCCTAGAGTGGTTAGATTAAAGATGCTTTTCACTGATCTCCTTGGGAGATGGAATGGTAAGAGTTGATTATATTGTCACCCAGTTGCCCTGTGGAAAGTACTGCAAGTTTCCATTTTAAACAGATTTTAGAGCACAAATGTCATTCTCAAAAAGTTTTCTGAAAAACTAAGTCTTCAGAGCCATGCCGTTTAGGAGCCAGCTGTTACACCAGCAAATGGAGATACTTTGAAAAGATACCATATGATCTGCTGTCATTTTTACTTGCCCCCATGGCTATAATCCCATCCTGATAATTATCTGATGTATATAAATTCTATATACAGATAATACTGAATAGTAGCCTATCTAAATATAGTAATGAGTCTTCCCAGGTGATTCAGAGGTAAAGAATCTGCCTATCAAGCAGGAGGCTTGGGAAGATCCCTGGGTTGGGAAGATCCCCTGTAGAAGGATTTGGCAACCCTCTCCAGTATTCTTGCCTGGAGAATCCCATGGACAGAGGAGACTGATGGGCTACAATCCATGGGGTCACGTAAGAGTTGGATATGACAGAGCGACTGAACAACAACAACAAATTTACAAACAACAACAAATGATTTTCTGTTCAATTCCATAAAGGCAGCTCATTCCTCCTGAAACACTGTTAAAATTTCATTCATCCCAACTAATAAGGAAATTGACATTCTCGCTATGGGGCTTGGCACCTTGAGTACATTATTTTATTTTAATCTTCAAGACAACTCTATGAATTAGGTGTTTTATGCTTCATTTTTGAAAGTGGGAAACTGAGGCTGGGAATAGTAGGCAATTTGCATGAGATGACACCACTAGTTAGTTGTGGAACTGGAGTGTGTATTCAGGTTTGATCTTGAAGTCTGTATCCTTCCCAAGACACTACCTTGGAAATCAGGGCTTCAACCTTGGCACTGTCAGTATTTTGAACTATATAATTCTTCTTTTGTGGGGGACTATCCCGTGCATTGGAGAAGGCAATGGCAACCCATTCCAGTACTCTTGCCTGGAAAATTCCATGGACAGAGGAGCCTGGTAGGTTGCAGTCCATGGGGTCACTAACAGTTGGACACGACTGAACGACTTCACTTTCACTTTTCGCTTTCATGCATTGGAGAAGGAAATGGCAACCCACTCCAGTGTTCTTGACTGGAGAATCCCAGGGACGGCGGAGCCTTGTGGGCTGCCGTCTATGGGGTCGCACAGAGTCGGACACGACTGAAGCGACTTAGCAGCAGTAGCAGCAGCAGTCCTGTGCATTGAAGGATATTTAGCAGCATTCCTCGTCTCTGCCCACTAGATGCCTGGAACACCCACCCCAACCATTGTGACAATCAAAAATGTGTCCAGTCATAACCCCAGGGGCAATACTTCCCCACCTAAAAACCACTGCTGCAAACACTCCTAAAGCATTTTCTCCCTTACACCACTGAAATTTTGTGGTTCTGTGAAATGCACGGAACAATCTGAAGGCCCTAATAGTGCCTAAGAGTGGTCTTACAGGGTAGACATCAAGAAATAAAAATCAATTATATAATTAAATATAGCATTTCAGTTCACTGCACAGAAAAAGCCCCTTATTCCTATTATTCCTGCTAACAGCTTGTCTTCTCCAATGAGTAAGCATTCAAACTGTGAAAACAGACAGAAGCTTCGATGACTTGCAGCTGCCTCAGAAATTCAGCCCAAACTCCTCAGGGAGACATTCAAGGTCTTCCCACTTTGGCCTCAGTCCTTCTCCCCACCCTCAAACCAGCGTCCTTTCAGGCTCCAGCCAAGCAAGATGACTCACCAAGATTCTAACACTTCCTACATTTTCTCATTCCCCGTCTTGGCTGAGGACTTCCCCTCTGCTTCAGGCGTCTTTCCCAATCCTACGCCCCCACCCCCAGCATGGCCTTGGGAATTTCCGCCTCTGCCTTGTGGCCACCCTCTGCATTACAATGGGGGAACGGCTTCCTTCTTCTTTCATACTTGGTTTTTGATTTTAGTCTTTCTCATCTCGCCCAACCTCATGCTGAGTGATCTTTCCTGTTGGATTGAAAGTTCCCAGAGAAGAGGAACTCTATTTTTAGCCTATTTAGTTTAGTCCTTATCTCTTGGTGGGTTGGACTGGACTGGATTGCAGACAGGGTAGAATAAATAGCACAAAGGTAAATTTCATACCAGTTTCCATGAGGATTTAAATACATTTCAAATGTGACATCTGCAGGTGTAGTGAGGGCCAGTGAACATGGTATTTGGGCTCTAGGGTAGTCCTACCTCATATGACTTAAGTGTGCCGTGGGTGGGCCTCTGACCTCGGCCACCACTAGGGCTGTGTCCCTTGAGCCTTAATCACTGGCACGCAGCAGAGGGTGTGTTGGGCTGGCCTTCTGTCCATGCCTCTCCCTCATTGAGGGTCTGCTTATGTCCAGAGGGAGGGCATCTTTTCCCAGTTTTCACAAAGGCACCATGAGGGCTGGTAGAAGCCATGATAGTAAAAACTCTCCCACAGCTTCAAGTCACTCTGTGTTAAGTGCCTGCATTCCTAAATGTGCCATTTAACTACTCCTTCTACTAAGAACTACTGCGCTGAATTCTGCCCACCTAATCAGTTATTTGTTTTACCACCACTCCTTGACTAGAGACGGGCTTATATTAATTCATTCAATAAATATTAATCATTCACTAGTTTAGAGGATACAGGAGTGAGGAAAACAAAGTCTCTGTCTCCATCAAGCTTATATTCTAGTGGATTCTTAAATTTAATCCTCCCATGTTTAGTATCAAACAACCCACATAAGATTAAAGTTATAACCAGGCTCTTATTTGGAACAGGTTTTATTATATCTCTGGCTTGAGCTTTCGTTGAGAGTGGAATTTCTGAGTTAGATGAGTAAGTTCATCTAGGGTAAGATTTCTAGGAAAACGGCTTTGTCCTAGGTGGCTGAAGGGACAAGACCAATGTCTCGGCATCACCCCCTGTGGTCATGTGGCTCATTCCAGATTCAGTTGATTCAGGGCATCCAGCCAAGTCTCTTGAGAGTCTGGATGTCCCAATGCATTTGCATTTTACTTTAAGCTGCAAAGTGAGCAGTTTCTAGCATCCAGGCCATTTACTCTGAATATGTCAAAGGGCAGGGTGGGGGCAGGGGGGGTTCCTCCTGGGCATAGGTGAGGAGGATGTAGGTGGTCCCATGACAACTGTGGGTCTAACCTACAATGTTCCTATCGGCAGAAGCAGCACTTCACTTTATGGTTCGCTTTTTGCATCTGCAGATGGAAAGCTGTGCACCAGTTACAACCGAGGGCTCATCTCAAAGGCAAAGATCAAGGCCATCAAGTATAGTGTTGTCATCATTCTCGGTAAGCAACATCCCTCCTTGTGTTGTAAAACTGTGGACATTCCAAAAACAAATTTGTACCTGGGACCTGGTGACACGAAGTGCACACAGGGAAAAAATGTGTCTGTGGGAACGTCTGCCTCTTCCCAATTAGAAAGGAATGTGTGTGTGGAGCTTACCAGTGTCTCTGTAGCTCCCACACTGGCCAACATTTGGTTCCCTATATCTATCTTTATGAATATTGTTGTCCAACACAGCCATGGGGTGGATAATGTGGAGAAAATATCTAAGTAAGACATTACTAGCTGAAGCGGATGTTCACCATCATCTAGTTGACCCAGTTGCTTTTCTGAAGGCATACACTCCCCAGAGCTGAAGTTCAACAACTTAGGAAGACAGAAGTGACATTCCATTTCTTCTGGATATTTAATTTTAAGGTCACCATAAATTCTTCCCTAATGGATGCCTTATTTTCCCTGCTCGCTCCTGTCATTTTCCCTTTCCTTTTGTTTCTTTTTTGGTCTCTCTACTCTTAAGACCCATAAAGTCACTTCATCCAAGAAAAAAAGGCATTTCTAGAGCACCTAATATATGTCAGATTGGTGTTATATTCTTTGTCATTCCCAAACCTTCAAAACTTCCTCCCGTTTTTGTCCCCTCAGTTAATGGCCCTGATTCTTTTTTTTTTTTTTTAATCGCCCTGATTCTTATTTCACAAGGAAAACACTCTTGTCAGAATAGAACTTCCTCACTCACCTGCCTTCATATCCATGGACCTACCTGCATCTCTGCCTTTTCTCCTATTACTATGGATAAACTGTCTCTGTTCCTTAATCCAAAATGCACTTGAGCTCTGTATCCCATTCCTCCCTGCTAACTCGAGAATTCTCTTCCTGCAATCATCTCCTCTCCCTAACAGGTATCCCCCTTGCCTGGATCATATGCACATACACATATGTAACAGCTCCCTCTATAAACTCCCCAGTAACAGACCCTCTTCTTTAACACTCTCCTTTCAAGCAGACCTCCTCCCCTTTTCATCTCTCATTCTCTGGAGCCTATTTCTATTAGCTTTCTTTCCTATTACTCTAGTAAAGGCATACTTATCAAGGTAACCACAGCCAACAAAATGCCAGATGTCAATACTCAGTGATTTCTAAACAACATTTGCTCAGTCCTTCTTTGGAACACTTCCTTTGCTTAGAAATTATATCTATGATTTCTACTTGAAATTTTTTTATAATTCTACTTGAAATTTTTATTGATGATAAGCTTAGCATACTCGACATGAAAAACCAGAAGTCTTAGCATGCTTTCTTATCTCCTGAAAGTTTACTCGTCCTCCTGTGTTCCCGAGTTTAGTAAATGACTTCATCTTCCATCGACACCAAAAACCTAAGGGTCATCTGTCTGTCATTATTCTATTTCTCTTCCACGCCACATATCTAGTCTATCAGTAAGGCACAGAAGCTTTACCTGCAAAAGAGATCTCAAATTCAACCAGTTTTCAGCATCTATACAATTATTTCCTTGATCTAAGCTCCCACCAACTGCTCCCAGGAACACTGGAACTGCAACTGATCTTCTCTTAATCCTTCTCTGCAAAGCAGATAATGTGATCTTTTTAAAAATGTTAATCAGACACTATCACAACCCTGCAAACTCACCTATGGATTCCCATTACATTGGAATAAAATCTTACTTTTTCCCATGTCTTACACAGTGATCCGTCCTCCAGCCAAATATCCAGACCCATGCCCCTGCTCTCTTCCTTGCCCATTCTATATATAACAGTCACACTGCTTTTCTTGCTGTTTCTTCAAATGTCAATTTGTTCATACCTTGCAATATTTCCCACCTGAAATGCCCTACCTTCAGAGGGTGGCATGGCTTATCCATGCCATGGCTTAATAACATCTTGCTTTCCAACACCACCACCTCTTCAGAAAGGCCGTCTTGGCAAGTCTTAAATGTCTCTCCTATAGTCTTTACCCTACCTTATTTTTCCTTTGTATTTCTACTTCCACTTGACAGTATAGGATATATATTGATCTGTTTATTGTCTATCTCTCCTGCTGGCAAAATCCCCATGAGCAATGACTTTCACTTTTGTTTTCCTTACATTATCACCAAGGGCTTATAGGGTCCTTGCACACTGTGCTTAATTAATATCTGTTGAAAGAACGAATGGGGATATGCATGAAGGAAAAGATTTGTGCCATTTCCTTTTTTACCTAACTCAAAATACGACCCCTCCCTGCCCATCTTGTAGCTCTTAGGAGCTCTGGGAGCACATCTCTCATGTTAGCTCTGCTAGTACATTAAGTCACTAGAGTTGTCCATCTCGCCTTTCTAAAATGCATCTGCAAATGCCAAACAGACCACATGCCGTGTGACTTAGCCAGAATACAATCACAAAACAACACTGCAGGCAGACCTGGGGATAGAGCATATACCACCCACTGGAGCTCAAAATCCTTTCCCCAGAAGCTTCTGAAGTAGATCAGAGATTATCTTGCTTTCCCAGACAATTAGGAGCATGATACACATGATGTTGAGTCAGGAAGCATACCTTATATATATGTTTCAGAGCCAGTATTGCCTTTTATAATCAAGAGCCATAAACATAGGCACTGGATTCCCTTTAGTCAGAGAGCAAGAAAGTCCACAAGGAGGTCAGCCATGTCAACAATCCAATCAGACCAAAATGCCCCTTCCTATAACAAATATTTTGTAATGCCCCTTTACCATTCTGAAATGAAATGTATACAAAAACCTATGTACCTAACATAATTCTTAAAAGGTTAATGTATAACATAAAGGGAGAATAGGAAGAAAATAATTTATAATAAAATAATACAGATTTCAATATACAAATACTTGGATACAGTCCTTAGTAGAATAATGAAGTAATAATAATTACAAATGGAAACCAATGCAGGTGTGTTTTCGTGGAGACATAAAAAATAAAGCAGTGTTGCTGACATTGATTTTATTTTCCCAGTAGGTAAACAAATCCTCCTAAAGTTTCAAATTAAACAAAGGAATCTTTCCTCTATTTGCAAGGGAATTGGACTTCTGGAAAACTCAGTATTTATTTAAAATATTGTGGTCATATATAAAATAGAATCAGGTTTCTAGACTGGGGTCATTATAAACAGATTCTCTCCTCCATAAATGTTCAAATGGGCATTTGAAGGATGTATGGGACATGGATGGGACTGGCTGCATGATGCAGGAGAACAGGTATCCCTAGGAAAACCAGAACGAATACACACAAATATATACACACGCATTTTCAAAATTCCCCCAAACAGAAGCTCTGCCCCTGCATGCCCCAGAACCACTATCTGCGCCAATGCCAGGCTTTGCCATCAGAACCCAGAATGTTCAATGGTCTTTGTGTTAGAACTGTTCCCTTTTAACAGACTGTCAAGGTCAAGGAGGAGAAAAAAAAAAAAACATGTATCAGTCAAAGAGTTATGGCGACAAGCTGATTCCTGCAGTCAGATGGCAAAGGAAGCCTGACTTCCCTGAGGAAAAATCCTATGACTGAGAAAGGGAAGAAAGAGACTGGAGAGGATGGGGCGAGAAAGTAAGAGCGAGTACATGTGGGTTCCAGTCAACCCCAAGAAGGTTTATCTCTATGGTATTAATCTGCGTTCTCCAGAGAAATTACATATATATATAAAGATATTTATTGTAAACAATTGGCTCATTTGACTGTGAAGCTGAAAAGTCCCCAGATCTCCAGATCCAGGAGAGCTAATGGTGTCGTCTCAGTCTGAGTCAAAGTATAAAGGCCAAAGAGGATCAAAGTCTTAGCCAGAAGACAGTCAAGCAAACAGAGTGACTCCTCTCTCACTCACTCTTTTTGTATTCAAACCTATGGATAGATCACTGCCCACCCACATTGGGGAGGATAATTTACTTTTCTTAATCTACAAATTCAAATGTTAATCTCATTCAGAAATACTCTGAGAACACAGAAATAATCAGAAGTACTGATTAACAAAAAAATCTGAGCATCCTATGACCTAGTCAAGGTGGCACATAAAATTGGCCATCACACTCTGGGTCTCCATTTCTCATCTCCTTCCTCTGAGGATTTGGATCCAAGCAGAATCAGGGTCTTACGCACACTAATGGACTTGGTAAGGGGTATATAGTTGGGTGTTGCCTGGAGAGGCTGACTTGAAAATGGAAAATAAAATTGAGAATCTTGTGACTTAGCCAGGCTGTGTTTTGAAACATTAGATATCACCCCTGCCCCTCGCCTACCCCCAAAGAGGAGTCACTATGAAGTGCTCCCTGTTCTTTACCATAGAGTCTCCAAAGGGATTTGCTGAATTTTCTTTCACACTGTGTAGAATGAGAGGCTAAGGCCATGCTGAACAGCTCCCAGCCTTTCAAGGATCACTACAGTAGTTAAATCAGACCCTCCCTTTACAGAGAGAGAAGCTCCAGCAAATTTACTCAATTTTAGAAATGCGTCAGTGGGATGTAATGTATATATGTGTAGATGTGTGTGTGTGTGTTTGTTTAAGTAAACATGACATTAATATGAACACACACAACTGTTCTAAATATTTCTGAGATCCCAGGTGCTAAGGAACCTCCTCATTAAAGCTCCACTCGGGGCCAACACAGAGGGCCCCCTGGGCTGTGGGCTGCTACAGTCCTAATGGTTCTCTTCTCCCCAGCCTTCATCTGCTGTTGGAGTCCCTACTTCCTCTTTGACATTTTGGACAATTTCAGCCTCCTTCCAAACACTAAGGAGCGTTTCTACGCCTCTGTGATCATTCAGAACCTGCCTGCCTTGAATAGTGCCATCAACCCCCTCATCTACTGTGTTTTCAGCAACTCCGTATGCTTCCCCTGCAGGTAAGGGGCATTCAGACATGGGGAAGCCCACTGCACTTACCTCCAACCTTTGTCTTCCTCATGCTAGAGCTCCCTGGCGGGTTATAGATGAGAAACTGAGAGTCAAAAAGTTTCCCCTAGTGTGACAGGTTCAAATCCAGGCCCCTCGGCCATGGCTCATGCTTTCTCCTATACCACATCACCTCTTATAGCAATCATCCTAATTGAGTCACATGTAGAAGATCCTTATTTTAGTTCAAAGCTTCTCCACATGAGTTGCCTCAATACAATGCCATGGAGATAGCAGAACACAAAGAATATCATTTTACAGATAAATTAAGGCTCACAGGTTAAGTGACGTTATTGAGATTAGATGAATAATTAGTTACAGAGCTGAAACTAGATCCCTCCCACAATGACTCAGTCTGCTGTTTTTCAGCTGTTTTACTGCACAAGCTACAGGGAGTAGGTGGAAAAATCCATAGGAGATGGAATCATAGTGGAATTGTTTCAGGCTTGGGTTTGATGCCCTCCATTGAATCTCTCTTCCATCAGTTGACAAGACCTTTCAAGTCCTTCTAGAATTATGGATGAATGGTAGCATTTCTCAGTGATCCTAAACATCATTGATATGTTAGAAGGGCTACCATCCCTCACCTGCCTTGCCTCTGGCCTCTCACCCATCAGCCCCTCACTGCCCTCCCATTTCCTCTTGTCTCCATGATAGAATTGCAGAATGGTTGCAGGCTTGGGTTTGATGCTGCCATTGTTGATTCATAGCTATGTGTGACCTAGGGAAAGTTATTTAACTTCCATAAACCTCCATTTCCTCACATGTAAAAAGGGGCTAATAGCACTAGCAGTGCCTACATCTTGGCCAGTGATGTCCTTGTCACTGGGCTCTGGTACTGATCAGTAGGAAGGAGGGCTGTGAGTGGCGGGGAAGTATAGTGAGGGCTATTACATTAAAAGTGTTTAGCACAATGCCTGATCCTTAATAAGTTCTCTGCAAGTGCTAGCTCCTAACAGTTAAATTATTCAGGACGCATGATTTTTCCTCTTTGTTCTTTCTTTAGGGAGCAAAGATCACGGGATTCCAGAATGACATGTCGGGAGAGAACTGAGAAGCATGAGATGCAGGTTCTGTCCAAGCCAGAATTCATGTAGGTCATGGGGCAGCAGTAGCACTGGGCTGAGCCCCATCAACTCTCCTGGGTTCCCATTAGCACCTTGGGCCTGTGTATAAAGCTTGAGCCAACTTCTCTGCCCTGCACCGTTCATCGCTTGGGGGATATGCAAGGCAAACATCGTAAAGAGTGTGAGTCACCTGCCTCAGCAAGTATTGGCCAATAGGAAGTTACAAACTACTCACACCAGCCAGGAAAGATACCCTTTCTTTCCCTACCATTCCCAGCTGCCCTTCTCACTGGTCAGCACCAGAATCAACGGACAGAGACATTGCCGGCCCGGGGCCCAGGCTTGGGCAAGCAGAGGGGATTGACTAAAAAAGCATGTTTGTACATGTTCTTATAATTACAATTTAAGAAGTAAATAAAAGGCTTACCTGAGCCTAGATTTTCCTCCCATTTTTGGATTCAAGTTTCAGTAGCTGTGGCCAAAGAGATGTTTGTCCTTGAAATGCCAACAAATAATAAATTCATTTCCAGGCATTGAGGCTTTGCGTCTCCTCTGCAGATGGCCATGGTTGGCAGATGGATGTGTTGGCAGCAGCCAACCTCACAGTCCCATTGTATCGACAGATGATTTGCAGAAAGAACATAAGTGCTGGCCCTCCAGAGAAAAATCGAAATTGAGGGGTACTTTATCTGGTAGGAAAAGAAATAGCGCAAAAGGTCATGGGGTTCTGACCTCCAGGCTCTGAGAGTTGGCACCTGGGTCTCACACATGTCTTTCTGACCCTCTGAAGGCTCCTCCCTTTGCATTCCACACTTAGGCCACTCTGGGCTCCATGTCTCATACCTCAGGGACACTTCTCTCTCTATAGTTGGGAGCTGAATGCCTGTGGCTTTTCCAGGCATGATGTTTCTGTAATATCTTTATCATTTTTGCACATTTTAGCCATTGTCTATCTAACACCTTGGCTGGGAAGCGCTCGTGGGCCTTATTTTGACAAGTCTGGAGTTTGATATATATAAGCATAATCCAAGTGAAATATGACTAAATGTTTTCTAATCAATTTTTGCTGTCAGATTTTTCCATAAGTGGAAGTGGAATAATTTAATTTGATTATATATACATCCCCACCCACGGCTCTAGGATGTGTGTGAGCTCCTTATTTTTAGCCTCACATACATTCTTGACATTAAAATCTCCTTGGCAAAATCCTCCTTCCCAAAATTATCCTGAGCTTAAGTCTTTTTTCGTCTACTGCTTGTGAAGTTATTATTTTAATAGCACTCCATTCCTCATTATGGTGTCAACCCAAAGACTTCATGCTTAAGGTCACAGTGGCATTTTTCCCATAAACTCTCTTTTCAATTCCATCTGACCTTAAGAAAAGTATCTCTTAGGTAGAAATCAGACTCCTCAGTCACCAGCTCTCTTAGAAGTACTTTCTGAATTTGAGGAGACTGAATAATCTAGTTGTACATCTACAGAACAGTATTGAAGGCTGTCTTCCTTCCTGTCCAACCAGCTAAATATGAACAAACCTGGAAGCTTTGAGAAGTGCTTTTTGACATTTCACTTTAAATCAAGATGTGCTACGGAATACCCACATAATCATTGCTAAAATAACTGTCTGCATGGGAGTCAATTAACAGTGCAAAATCTGGTGGCTGTCCTTCTTACATGGCAAAATGGGAGGCCTGGGTTCTTTTGACAGATGCTTTAAATCTCGGTCAAGCTCTGGTCTGAAAAAGGCATTACATGCCTACCTCATCCATCAGTAGACTTTGAAAGTTAAGGAGAGAGTCAAGTGAGGGGTTTTGTGGGCTTTAAAAACTGTGAATGTGATTTTGTAGTTATTGTAGTGCTGAGACTCCTATTCCCAGTGAAGACTGGAGATCAGTAAGATAATGGTACAGGCTGCTGCAAGACAAGCTGTCAGTACAATGAAACTTGCTTCATATTGGTGAGGACTTTGGGATTCTCATTTTCATGTATTTTCTGAGCTTGAGGAAACATGATTTAAACACTAAGGAATGCTGGTAATAGTTTCATAGTCTTATGACCTTGGAACAAATTATTTAATGTTTCTGAGCATCAACCATCTCATCTGTAAGATGGGAACAAAATAAGGCTGGAGCAGAGAGTCTTGTGGGTTCTTTACAGATACAGGTTCTGAGATTATAATGGCTTAAATTACATCCATAGAGTCATAGCTTCTGGAATTTCTTCCCCAGAGGGACAATGACTGTATGACTCATAGCCGAGTTATTTGCTCTTTAGAAGGTGTAATTTCTCCATCTATCACCATGAAGTCAGAGAAACATCATTTCCCAATTGGGAAATACAGTTTGAACTCTTGGAGAAAATAAGCAGGTTAGTGTTGTGATGTCATGTTTATAGCCTTGGATGCCCAAGTGGGGCCAGAGAAGCCGGCAGAGTGATATATAAAATTAAGAAGCTTACTTCCTACACCAAGATGTTACAGACACCTATGACTGCATTATCACTTAGCTTCAGGCATAGGCAAAAATTTAGGATAATAAGGATAGATGTGTTTAATATATTTAGCCATGCTAGAGAAAATAAGTGTCTCCGCTTTACTGAACTAAATTAAATATGAATGGTAAAAACTTTCCTTCCAGGGCTTGTGTTGAGCATAATTTAACAGAAGTTTAATTTTGCCAAGCAACATTTCCCATACCTTTTTAATGGCTTTAATTTGTGATTAATGATGAGAAAAAAGTATCCCTTCTCAATCAAACACGCAGCTTAAACTTGCTTCACCACATCATTATGACAACTCTAGACATCCATATACAGAAAGGACCTTGCCTCTTCCTTCTGCATCCACAGGGTCGGAAGGGACCACAAGCCTGCATCTGGTGGGGAAACAGGAAAACAAAAATATTTTTAGCAAGAAATAAAGTAGCTCTACTCTTCTAAAGTCATCTTAAGTGAGCTACAGTCCTTCTGGCAACTAGACTTTTTTTACAGTCATATGAATATACCTCACTTTATATGCAGATCTAACAGTGTTTCTTGCAGTTTTTCAATTGCATTTGATTGAAAGTAAATGGTCCTGTTGAGGGGCCAACCTCCTCGCTTTTGGAAACCTGAAAAACACACGCCTCATGTCTCTGCAGCTGCATTTTAAGACTGCATTATCCTCAACAGGGCTGGTTTGATTAACATTTTAAAAATGCAATTCCATGCATACAGAATGTTAAGATGGACAGAGGCTTGAGTCATGTAGTCTCATGGTTTTCTGACTATTTGGGGACTCTCTAAGAGGTCCCAAAGAAGTGACTCAGTATTCATACTCATGTATACAACAATAGCATTTATATAAAGTCTAGACAAAATTAAGATAGTTAAATTGCTTAAAGTCCTTGCATTACCTGGAATGTGGTAATGTGGTAGATTAGACATTGATACACCAAGAATGCATGTTTTCATTTCAAGAATATAGGTTGTAATCACTAAAATAATAGAAATAAAGAACTATATAACTTTGAAACTAAAAGAGAAGAAAAACATGATAAAAGGACTCAAGCAGTCTAAAAGAAGGCAAGAAAAGAGAAGCAGAAATATGAATAGCTGGGACAAATAGAAAGCACATAGGAAAATGGTGGATTTTTTATCCAAATATATTAATAACTGTAATAATGTAAGCAGATTAAATACTCCAGTTTTTTTTAGATTAGACTTTCAAAGAAACAACTATATGTTATTTGTAAGAGACATGCCTAAAACACAAGGACACAGAACGTTTGGAAATAAAAGAATGGACAAAGGTATTCCATGGAAACAGTACTAAAAACTGATGAGACTGTATTAATAAAAACTAAATACATTTTAAGGGAAAAAAAGCATTAGTGGCATTAAACAGGGACATTTCAAGTGATAAATGTTTCAGTTCAGTGAGTGATATAACTCTAAATTTCTAAGCATTTACAAGATGGCCTCAAAATATGTATTTTCAAAAGTTGTCAGAACCATCAAACAAATAGACAAGTCCATAGACATAGTGGGGAATTTTGTCACACTTAATTTCAATAATTGAAAGAGACAAAAACTAGGAATGATCTGCACAACTGGAACAACATGAATAACACAGGGAGAGCACATTATCCTACCACTACAAAGTAAACGTCTTTTCAAGCACATGTGAAGCAGTTACAAAACTTGACCATATGTCAGCCATAAATAAATAAGCTTCAAAACATTCAAAAGATTGCGCTCATAAAGCCTGGTTTCTCTGATCACAATGCAATTATGCTAGAACTCAAGAGCAAGAGTTTAACTAGAAGATTACCAGGTTTGGAAATCAGAAAATATACTTCTTAGTACCTATAATCAAAGAAAAAAGTACATGGAAAATAGGAAACAATCATATTGAATGATAATGAAATTATATCAAAAGTGTGGGATACAAACAAACATACTAAAAAGAAGAATTTTTCTTCTTTTCCTTTAAGTTAATGAATAAATCATCTAGTTCATGAAGTTAGGGAAATTCACCAAAACAAAGCCACAGGAAATACAAGCAAGAAAATAATGAGCAGGAGTAAATTTAATAAAATAGAAAAGGAACATGTAATTTTAGAAGCTCAAAAGACAAAATTCTGTTTTTTGAAAAAATAATAAAAGCAATAAAGCTCTTGTGAGATTGGTCAAAGGGAAAAAAGAGAGCAGGCACAAGTAAGCAGTATTATTTATTTTAAGGATATCCCTGTAGGTCTTGAAGTCAATAAAGAGATAATAAAAGGATATTATGATCAAGTTTATACTAAAGCAAACTGAAAATATAGATGAACAGCCAGCTTACTATAACCGACATAAGAAGAAACAGAAAAGTTGAGTAGTAAATATCATAACCACTAAAGAAAAAATATGCCTTCATTGGAGAGTTCTACCACAATTTAAATAAAAAGCAACTCCAATTCTATATACTTATACTCTTAAGGAGACTATAAAAAGAGTGTCTTTTGAAACTGTTTATTAGACTAAAAATGACATAATGTCAAAGCCCTACAAAGATATTACCAAAAGGAAAATTACAAGTGAAATTTTGTCATGAAAATAAAAACAAAAGTTCCAAATTAAATTTTAGCAAACCAAATCTGGCAAAATATAAAAAGACTAAAACACATGACCAAGTTGTATTCATTTCAGGACTGCAAGTTGTCTTAATATTAGTAAACTACTCAAATAACTCATTATACTAATAGATTACAAGAGTTAAAAAAACACATTATCAGTGTAACAGATACAGGGGAAATGTTTGATAAAATTATTGGACATTAAGTCACAATAAAAGATTTTCACAAATTTGAGTTAAAAATAAATCCCTAACTCTAAAGATTATGTACCAAAAATCCTAATGATAAAACTTTGAGGTAGTCCCTTTGAAATAAAGAATGAATGAGTAAAGAATGCTAATATCATCACTTTATTCAACATTGTACTAAGATCCTAGCCAATATAGCAAAGCAAGCAAAAACAAAAAGATAAAAGGCATAAGGATTGGCAATGCATAATAAAAATCAATTTATTATTGATATAAATATATAGTGGAATATCAAAACAATATACATTAGAATTAATTATTATATTATAATTGTAAATAATTAAAAGTAATCATAAAGTTTAGTATGGTTGCAGGATACAAAATCAATATACAAAAGTCAATATCATTTCCACACAAGAGCAACAAACAGAAAATTATTTTTCAATTGCAATTTACAATAGCCTTAAAAGATCAAGTCCTAGGAATAAATTCATAAATGGTGTGTAAATCTCTATGGAGGAATCATAGTACTATTGACAGGTATTAAAGAGGAACTAATTAAATGTAGAAATAAATACACCATGATTTATCATAAAATCATCCATTCTTCTCCAATCAATCAGTAAGGTTAATATAGTTACAATCAAAGCTCCAGCAGGAATTCTATAGAACTTTGCAAGTTGCCTCTAAAAATTTATAGAGAAATGCAGAAGGCCAAAATTAGCCAAGACGTTTTAGACCGAGAAAAAAGAAGTGGGAATATTTGATCAGCTAGATACTTGACCTTATTACAAAGCCATAATAATAAAAGTTATAGTATTGTGTCAGAGTAGACAAAATAACAAATGTAACAGTAAAAAAGTTCAGAAAAAGATGTCCACATATAGGAAAACTTGTTTATTTCAGAGACAGCATTGCAGAGGAATGGGAAAAGGGTGCTCTTTCAATACACGATATAAGGAAAATTGGGCAGTTACATGGAAAAAAATGAAAATGAAAGCCTGGTGGATTATATGCAAAAGTGCTTCCAGATGGATTATGGATCTAACTGCATGAAACAAAACACCTTGAAGAAATAATGTAGGAGAATATCTTTAAGATCTCTGAATAGGGCAAGAGCTCTTTAAACAAACCACAAAAACTGCTGCTTTTAAAGGAAAAAAATTAATAAATTTGATTACCAAAAAATTAGAAAATCAAAAGACATCATAAAAAAGGGTGAAAAAGCAAGTGATAGAATGGGAAATGATATTTGCAAATGACAAAGATCTACTATTTAGAATATGTAAAACTCACATAAATCACTAAGAAAAGACAATTGAAAACATATAGAAATTGATCAGGACTTGATTTCAGAAAAGAAATTTTCCAAAAGGCCAATAAAACACCAAATGAAAAGGTGTCAAATCTCACTGAAGTCAGGGAAAAGTAAATTAAATCACAATGAGATACTAATATGCACCCACCAGATTGGCAAAAATTTAAAACTTTGACAATATCAAGTGTTGGTGAAGATGTGAAGCATCAGAAATTTTCATTGTTTTCTGGTGGTAAATATTTAGTACAACCTAAGGATCAAACTAGAGTCTCTCACATTGCAGGCAGATTCTTTACCATCTCAGCCACCAGGAAGGCTCCCACAACCATTCTAGCCTTTAATTAATAAAGTTAAGGATGTATATACCCTATGACTTGGCAGTTCCGTTCCTGAGTATAGATACTACAGAAGAGTATAATTACGTGAGCCTTAATATATGTGAAAGAATATTCATAATAATTAGAGAAGGGAATGGCAACCCACTCCAGTATTCTTCCCTGGAAAATCTCCAGGACAAGAGGAGACAGGTGGGCTACAGTTCATGGGGTTGCAAAAGAGTCAGACACAATTTAGCAACTTAACAACAATCATAATAATACTGATTTATACGAACCATAACTGGAGGTGAAACAAATGCCTACCAGGACAATAGATTAAAAAATATGGTATATTTCATACAATAAAGTACTTTATAGCACCAAAAATGACCCAAAAAACCCCCACCCCAGCTGCTTGTCACAACATGAAAAAAATCTTTAAAAACATAATACAAAAATAAAGAGGATAAATACTAAAAGATACTATATGATTTCAATTATGTAAAATTCACAGCCAGCCAAATTTTACTACTGTATTTAGGGATGCATGCACAGGTGATAAAATTATAAAGCAATGCAAGGAAATTAGTTTTATAAAGTAATTTATAAAAGCCAAGAGTGGGGCTCCTTTGTGGGATGGGAAAGAGCCGTGTTTGGGAGGGAGCCTGCAGAAGAGGTGCTGGTAAGGTTCTATTTCTTGCTCTTGGTGTTCACTTTCTAATTACTCATTAAGCTATATATTTACATTTGGTGCGCTTTTATGAATGTGTGTTATATTTCACAATTAAAAGTTTCTAAAACTGTAACTCTTCAAAGCCTTTTAGGACCATTATTCTGGAAGCAGTGCAGAGAAGGCAGCCAGACTGGAAACAGGAAGGTGATCAACTGGGTCTCGATTACACACAAGAAACAGCAGAGATGAGACGGCCCAAAGATGCTTCTGGGCTCCTTCTC